ACATGATTTGTTTTCCAATTTTTTCAGATGTTAATTCCCACAGTAGGCCTCAAAAAAGTTGGGCGAGTACACAAAATCTCCTTTTTAAAAAAAATAAAAAGTGCTTTTATTGCTATACTATACAAATAGAAAAAGAAAAACAAGAAAATGTCAAGATACCAATATGCAAACATACACACCAATCCCCCCCCCAGACAAAAAGAACAAAAATTACCAGAAAAGGGCACACCCCCAAACAAAATTATACATTACTGTAGATATGTAAAAGCAACTCATTTTTGCTTTTGTGATAAACCTTGCCCAAATTTTATTATATCATTAAAAATGAACAAAATCTAGGGTTTAAAGTGGTAGTTTCTTTCCAGCAATGTCCAAAGTACTTAATGAATCAATAAATTCCAGGTTTTCACTATATAATTGAACATCACATTAACTTTTTATAATTTTTACTTATTTTCCTTAAATAATTTTTATTTATTTATTTAAAACATCGGTATAGCCACCCATCTTAAACCAAGTTCCGGGCTGCTTACAATCAAGAATAAAACCACACATGCATAATAAAAACCAAAACCAATAAAACCAATAACCAAAAACCAGAAAAATTATACTAACAATATTAGACCAAAATGGAATAACTATAGAGCAAGCCCAAATCATATTTGTCATTGGCCCCTCAAATGTATTACATCTCGACCAAAAAAGGTTAACATCTAGGCCTGCTTAAACATCCATTGAGGTGTCCAGTAAGCATAAAAATAACATTTTTTGATGACTTGGTCTTATCTTAAGGTCATAAGAAACATATTTAACATTCTTTAAAATACAACATTATCAATGTTTTAAAATGCAATATTCCAACTCTGTATTACAAAATTATTGCAGATTACCAATTTCTTATAATATTTTTCAGCCACCCATAGAAATAAACTATAGTTTAGAGTCTTCCAAAACACTTTCAAAACTAACGTTGGTGTTTTAGAAGCTGCTAACTTATCAGTTCCAAATTGAGAAATCAAAAGGTGCTTTAACTGAATACATTGTCTTTCGGTAGTTTTAGGCAGTTCAGATTCTTGCAAAAAGTCAAATTTTTGAAGGAATTGTTAATAATAAGCTGGTTAAGAGTTTTAATACCATTTTCTGCCCAACTACTCAAAACAACAACAACAGAAAAGCATTTACCTGTAAATGTTAAATTAGGATTATTCCAAAGTGTCAGTTGTTCAGGTGAACAGGGATCAGACCTAAAGGTCCACCTCCAAATCTTCCAAATATGCCTTGCAGCCTTAAATGCTGACAAAACAACTGAATTCTGACTAAAAGAAGAACCAAGTCTCTGGTATCAGAGGGGTCAGGTAATAATGTTCTAGTTGCGCCCATAACGGCTTTTGAAATAAATTTGCTTGGATTGAAACCCTCCCCCCCCCCAAAAGAAAGGTGAATCAAAGTGGTAAAGTTGAACATCCAAAAGAAAAAGAAAACCCACCCCAATTTTCATAGGGAAGTTGCAGTTTAGATAATGTCTTGGGATCTATGTATCCTGCAAAAACTTTCTCAATAATTATCTAAAACAAATTAACATAAAGACCCATCTTGGGATATACAGTACATCAATATAATATTTATTTTTTAGCAATATTTATTCTACCCCATAAGTTCATGGGGATTTTCATCCATCTATATGTTTCAATATTTATGAGTTAAAAAGTTTGAAATACTTACGTTAACAAACAATATTTTTCTAGGAATAATCATTCCAAGATATTTAAGAGAATTCAGACAATAAAATAAATTATTCCCAAATTTCTGTAGATGCCTTAGAATCTTCAAATTATAAATTATATAGATGATGATGAAGAGAAGTCTGTGGCCGTAATATCCATCTAAGTTGTTCATACATTAGTTCAATAGGAGATTGTGTGAAAATCTGTATCCTTGTTCAATTGTTTAATCATTGTCAGGGAAATACAATACTTTTTCTTTATGAAAATGTAGGGACATGTGCCTAGCTTCTGTGATGTGCATTAAAAAAAATTAATTAAAATAACTATGTCATTGTGTTCTGATCAGAAATGTTTCTAATACCTTAAAACAAGCAAAACTTAAAATTTCCCATTTGTATATCTCAAATTAGTTACAGTAGCTCATATTGATCTCTTCATGTTCCCAAACTCTTTTTGAGCCTTCTGAGTTTGCTTTTCTTTGATGTTGATCCCATGTGGCAATCCAGTCTCTTGCATAATCACCCTATTTTAATCAATGGAATAATTGATAAACCAGCAAAGATTTAAACTGATTATCTCCCTGATGGAACTTCTCAAGGGGGCTTGGGGCTCTCTAAATTTTTGATGTGTGTTGTGCATCTTGTATATGAAGTGTGGTTTGAATTATCTGTTTTTATTTGCTTAATGATGGGATGGTGTTAAAGTCAAATGTTTAATTAACCCAGCAATGGGCTGCGCTGTCTCTTACACACGCACCCAGTTGATTGAGATCACTCATAGAGAATACTGAATAGGAAGGATAATGTGGCACTCAGACGGAAGATTGCTTTTTCAATCTATTTGCTGGGTCACTGCTTTGAATGTCTTATTGGATGAAAGGCATTCAGCCCAAGGGGGGAAAAAGCCCAGCATTTAAGTACATTTTGCTTTTCTCCAGGTCCCCTCCCTGTTCAGAAGTTAACTAAAAGAGATATGTTGTAGGTTTAATAGGCCATTCATGTCCAAGCAAGGCAGTGTGAATAGTGGCTTTCAATATACCCTGGCTTAAAGCTGTTTACTTTCCCATAGAAACTAAAAATCTAACTGGTATGTGAACAAGAACTACTATGTGCATATATTTCTATCTCCTTTGCTGCAGTTCTTTGAAGGATTCATAGAGACACACATATTCCTATGTCTGCTAGTGAGCAAACAGTGCTTGCTCTTCAAGCTCTTGCTTGATTATATTCCAAAGTCAAACTTCTGTTATTCAAAGTCTATATTTATAAGATGTTGATAGTAAGTAGTTGAGGTAGCCACCATTATTTGATTAACATGGAATCTTGTTCCATACTCAGTAAAATATATTGGATTCTTCCATAATTATTTTTCCTTGAGCTGAATGTTTTTAGAAGCATTCACATAGTACTGACTTAGCTTACTACACTATGTGTGTGTTACCATGTATCATCTTATATGCGCTGCTGTGATAATCTTTGTTCATACCTAAGCATGGTTTATTAGCAGTCAGTTATTTTGATAGCTAGGTCTAAGGCCAACAGCCCCTTAACTTCATGAAGCAACCTCTTCTGAACACTACACAATAGACTTAGTGCAGCAATAGTTATATTGATGAGTTTTCTCACTTTCTAGTTATATTATTTTGATTGTACTTTCTCATTACTTATGTTCTAAGTACAGTGGTACCTCGGTTCACGAACGCTTCTGTTCACGAACAATTCGGTTCACGAACAGCTCCGTTCACACAATTTTGCCTCCGTTCGCGAATGCTGGATCGGGTGACGAACAGGATCCGTGGCCATTTTCCCTCCTGTGACACGTGGTCGTGGCTTCCTGTAGGGAGGGGGACTCTCCCTCCAAGCAATAACCGCCTCCGCACCCGCCTTCCTGTCCTCCACGCCAGAGGTCGCGTCGAGCAAGGTTAGCGTTCTCTCTCTTC